AACATTATCGCCAATGTCCGATGACAGATATGACAGAAGAAGATCTCTTTGTATCAGGAAATCATAAATATTTTTTCTTGAAGCTCGGTATTTTTTTTAAAAAAAAGAAGTCAAAATTGCTTTGTCTTAGGGTACACATCTTCCATCACAATAGCATGACTATCAACTGTACCTGTTTGTATTAATGACAACATAGAAGAATAGATGATAATGACTAATTGTTATCTATATGCCTAATTAATTGAGAAAAATGAAAAATTATTTGGGTACATTTTAAAGGAAGTTTTTATTATCTATTATCTATTATTATATATAAGAACTGTGGTGGCACAGTTGCTAGAATGCAGTATTGCATTCCCACCACCCATTGGAGCACAAAATGGGAGTCATCAGAACCCTACACTACCAAGCTGAAGACCTGCCTACCAGCAATGATGGAAAAGAAAAAGAACAAAAACACATCAAGGCAGCCCTCAGAACATGTAGCTATCCCAAGTGGGCCTTCATCAGATCTCAAAAAAGACCCCACAGGAGGTCCTCCATAACAGACAACGAACAGAACAATAAACGAAGCAATGTTGTCATTCCATGCATTGCAGGAATATCAGAAGAGTTCAGGAGGATCTTCAGCCAACATAACATATGTGTACACTTCAAACCCAAGAATACACTAAGGCAGAAGCTTGTTCACTCCAAGGATAGAACATCCAGACACAAAATAAACAACGTGGTATATGCAGTACAATGGAGCGAGCTACGTGCAGATCTGTACATTGGGGAAACAAAACAACCACTTCATAAACACTGGCAAGTTTGAAAAAGCATCTTTGGGACAAGCAAAGCACCTTTGGGACAACCATGATCTAAATGACTGAGAATCTCCGTAGACATTTGTACTTGCAAGATTCTCTTAATGTAGCTTTACAATGAAGTTGAATTAGCTCATCAGTTCTTGATTCCTGCCTGATCTATCTGGAGAAGATTTGCCTGGCAATTTTTTCCTTAATAAATCCATTCTTTCTCATTCTTTCCCATTTGTTCTGAAGGCATTTATGAGTCTATTTTCTCTAGAATATTCCTGGTGACTAAGAGATTTTGTAAATGATACTTTGTCAACATATATTTTGTGAAAATATGACTGACAAAGTTTGCTAAATCTCTGGTTTTCATTTCTGAAGATACTGTTGTTCTCCCAATTAAGAATATTTGCAAGTTAGCAATTGTAGAACATTTAAATATGACTTAAAGTGGGATAAGAAGCCAAGGTTTCTGCTTTTAAAATTCCTGTATGTTTCAATTCTAGTTCCATCCCTTCCTGAAGAAGAATGAGTTTTGCAATGTTTCCACATTCAAATGTTACTTGGACAAAAATGGAGGCATAGCAGCAGATCTGGACATCCAGAGCATCGTGGTTTTCCCCAAGAAAGATCCCATCACACTGCAACTGGGGAGATTTAAAAGGCAGAGACTTATTATCAACCAAGTTGTTCTTTCACAGCTAAAGATGCTCAATGAGGTGCATGAAATATTGACATCTTTTCTTTGTTTTCCAAAGCCTTAGATCCCATTTTAAGTGGGCTAACCCTAGTCACCAAGGTGGATAACCTTCCCAAAGAATTGAATGTGGGGAGGAGACACTTATAATTCTAAAAAGCCAATGTACTGCATTTCAAAGGGGAATGGTTTTGCAATGTTTTATGTAGTGTCAGATCTGCCTAGGAAAGAAGGAACCTCAACTCCATTTGGTTGAAGTGATAGGTTGTTTTACTAAGGATTAGTGGTTGCAGCAAAAGTAAGGCTAGGTCTGAAGTTCCCATGCAAAACATTACATTTCCCCCTCTTTCCCCAGCTTTCCCCCATTGACGGGTCCATCTCTGTCCAATAGCATGCTGTTTAGGTGTTTTGGGAACAGCTTGGATGTTTGGCGCCACTTGGTGCAATTTCACATTCTGTTCCAAGTTAGGTGTCCTTGAAGACTGGAACAGGCTGGTTCTCACACTTCTGGTTTCCATCAAACCTATCACCCCTCTTTCCTCTCATCTCTAATCTCTATATTCCAATTGCCCCCTCCCCCTTAACATTTTATGACAGGATGCCAGCAAAGCGCAGAGCTGAAGATACCAGATATGACATGCGGTCTAGAGGAAATCTTTCCAGAACTACCTGTCAGAGGTTTCTTTCTTCCTCACAATTTTATTCTATGTCAATCACTCTAATACAGGAGTATTAAACTCAAGGCCCAGAGGCCAGATCCGGCCTGTGGGATGCTTAGATCTGGCCTGCAGGGCTGGCCTGGAAATAGCAAAGGATCGGTCTGCTGTGCCTCCGCTAGTGAAAATGGGGCACAAGGGACCGAATGCAGTCCCACTGTGCCCCATGTTCACTGTGGACAGCCTCCTGCATCACTCTGGCAGCCAAAATGGGGCATAGGGCCTCCAGAGGCCTTCCCTGGCCCATTAGAGGCCAAAATGGAGAGGGCTCGCAACTTGGGTGTCCTCCTGGATGCACAGTTGTCTTTAGAAGAGCATATGACAGCTGTGGCCAGGGAGGGCTTTTCATCAGGTTCACCTGATTCGCCAGTTGCGTCCCTTTCTGGATCGGGACTCGTTACACACAGTCACTCAGGCACTCGTCACTTCCCGCCTGGACTACTGCAATGCTCTCTACATGGGGCTCCCCTTGAGGAGCACCTGGAGTCTCCAACTGGTGCAGAATGCAGCCGTGCAGGGGATTATGGGAGTGAGGGGTCACTCCCATGTGACGGCTCTCCTGCATGAGCTGCATTGGCTTCCAGTGGTCTTCCAGGTGTGCTTCAAGGTGTTGGTTACCACCTTTAAAGTGCTCCATGCCATAGGACTTAGGTATTTGGGTATAGAAATAGGAACAAATATTTGCGGGACCGCCTTCTGCCGCCGATAGACTCCCACCGGCCAGTATGCTCCCATAAAGAGGGACTCCTCAGGGTGTCATCAGCCAGGCAGTGTCGGCTGGCAACTCCCAGGGGGAGGGCCTTCTCTGTAGCAGCTCCTGCCCTCTGGAACGATTTGCCCCCGGAGATACGCATGATACCAGATCTCTGGGCTTTTCGCCGTGCCCTAAAAACTTTCCTTTTCCACCAAGCAGGGCTGGTGTAACCCCCCCCTCCCCTTTTGAGATGTTAGATTTTTAATTGTCTATGGGTTTTAGTTGAGAAGTTTTAAATTTTGGGCCAAAGTTGTGTAATTCTTTTAAAAAATTTTAAATTTTGTATTGGAATGTTTTTTTTATTTTTGGCTGTGTACCACCCTGAGTCCAACAGGAGAAGGATGGTATACAAATTTAAATAATAAATAAATAAATAAATAAATAAATAAATAAATAAATAAATAAATAAATAAATAAATAAAATGGAGCCCCCGTGTGCTGGGCATGGACTTCTGAGTCTCCATTCAGCCCTCTCCACAGACTGTGCCCCCTTTGCTAGCATCCCAGATTCCACTTATTCCTCCCCACCTCATTTCACATGTACTTACTTTTCAAAGAGCTCCAGAAGAGGCTGACCCACATTGTAAAGAAGCTGTAAGAATGTGAGATGTAAGGAAAACAGCTTTCTGACTAAAAGACCGGCTTCTCTGCCATGAGGGCCTGCAGGCTTAGTTTGGGCACAGTCTAGCCGGCAACGGGCCACCTACTGCTTGCTGCTGACTGGCTAGTTTGAATGAGGAGCTTAAAGGAGTGGGGTGTGGCAGCCAATCAACAAGGTCTTGCAGTTCAGCCTGATGATACAAAGAAAACAAGCTCCTCATTGATTGGCTGCCGCCGCCACTGCTGCCTCAATCCCTGAAGCTGTCCTGAAGCAGGAGGCTGCTGTAGCCTCGCCCAGGCCTTTTCTACTACCAGAGCCTGCTAGCCACATGGCCCCAAGCTGAAGTCTTTTATCACAAAGCTGGCAAAAATGTTTTCCTTAGATTTCACATTCTTACAGTTTCGTCATCATCTGAATCAGTGGTGGGTTGCCCTCGGTTCGCACCGGTTCTATAGAACCAGTAGTAAAACTGGCGGGAGGTTCCGCCCACTGACCCCGATGTCATCAAAATGCTTCTGCGCGCAGCCCCGCTGCGAACCGGTAGTAAAGGTAAGTAGAACCCACCCCTGATCTGAATAATAAATTGAGTGCAATTTATTTGAGATGACATCGAAACCTGACAGACACTTTGGCTTCTCTGCCAGTGGGTTAGCCTCTTTTGGAGCTCCAGAGGAACATAAAATATCTCAGTAGATTGGGGGGGAGGCCTTGGATGGCCTGCTTTAGCACTAGGCCCCGCATGCTCTTCCCTCCCCTATGCAATCGAGTAACAAATGCATTGGGGAAAGCAGGGAGTGATCACGTTCATTTAACATGATTCAATCAAACAAATACTTGGGTTACAAATGTAATTGGCAGGCTCTATTTACATTCGTAACTCGAGGATTACCTGTATAATGAGAGTGAGTGAGGGTCTCAGTGAAGTCCTCCATTAGTACTTGACCACCACAGGTGCCCCCCACATGAGTCCCATATCATGCCCACCCTGGCCACACCCCCTGGCCAAGCCCCATACCCCCCCCCCGCCCTCTGTGGTCAAACACAATCCTGATGCGGCCCTCAATGAAATCAGGTTTGACACCCCTACTCTAACAGAATAAGAAGTTAATAAATGTAATAAATAACATTTATTCTAAAATTTAATATTAATTAAACATGGATACATAAAGAACGGAGGAATGCATGTTAATGTGGCCATAAGAGGAACCCACTGGTTGTCACTTAATGGTTAAATATTTTCTCAATTCCATCCTACCATATTTTATTAAGAAGAAAAGTCCTATGTTGTAATGTAATACATCAGTAGTTTAAACTTTTAGAGAGTCATGTTTACCTAAAGTGAAACCCAGAGACTATTTTGTTAATGTTTATGTCAACTACCATTTTCCATTAATGATTTGTCTTGTTTTCTTTGATTCCTTGTTTTTCTGCTTAGTCTTTTCCTCAGTCCCAATGTGTAGAAAATTGTCATCCTGGATTTGTCAAACAAGTTCGGGAAGGAGAGCCAGTTTGCTGTTATGACTGTGTTCCTTGTCCAGAGGGGACCTTCTCCACTCAGGAAGGTGAGTGACCCCAGAGGAAAGGGTGCTGGATTCTTCCAGAGTATTTTGATCAATGTGCATGTTAAAAGAGACACATCTAAACTTGACTATTTGGTTGTACTTAATTTTCAACATGACCAATTTCTGCCATAATGGTAGAAATAGAGCCCTGGTGGCACAGCAGACTAAAGCACTGTTATTAACACCAGCTGCCTGCAATTACTGCAAGTTCAAATCTCACCAGGCTCAAGGTTGACTCAGCCTTCCATCCTTTCAAAGGTAGGTAAAATGTGGGGCAAGAAGCTGACTTTGTATAAATATATACAAAAGTATGAAGGCTATTGCTTAATGCATTGTAAGCCGCCCTTAGTCTCCAGAGAAGAGCGCCATATAAATCAAATTAAAAAAAAAAAGAGATAACAAAAATATCTTGAACGATGAGCAAGCAAGATAATAGAAGGACATTGTGGATTGGGCAAGCTTACTTCTATCAAAGGGAATCTCTTTTCTACTTCTCAGTTTTGTTTTGTTTTAATTTGATTTATATGCCGCCCTTCTCTGGAGACTCAGGGCAGCTTACAATGTGTTAAGCAATAGCCTTCATACTTTTGTATATTTATACAAAGTCAGCTTATTGCCCCCCACAAACTGGGTCCTCATTTAATCTACCTTAGAAAGGATGGAAGGCTGAATCAACCTTGAGCCTGGTAAGATTCGAACCTGCAGTAATTGCAAGCAGCTGATGTTAATAACAGGTTGCTTTAGACCACTGTACTACCAAGACTCACTTTTGAAGTGTCCTCTGATTTTGCCTTTCTTAGGAACACCTGAATTCTTTGAAACTTGAGGAATGATAAAAATATAATTACTTTTTGTTTTCTCAGATACTGAAAAATGCACCAAGTGCCCAGAAGATCAGTATCCAACTGAGAACAGAGTCCAATGTATCCCCAAAAGAATAATCTTCCTATCCTATGAAGAACATCTGGGAATTATCCTCGTCGCCTTTGCCCTATTCCTGTTCCTAACCACAGGCTTTGTTTTAATCCTATTCATTAAATATCGAGACACTCCCATTGTCAAAGCCAACAATCGGGATCTCTCCTACATCTTCCTGGTCTCCCTCCTGCTTTGCTTCTTGTCTCCTTTTCTCTTCATTGGTCAACCAAGAAAAGCCACCTGCCTTCTCCGACAAACCGTTTTCAGCATCATCTTCTCAGTTGGTATTTCTTCTCTCTTGGCCAAAACCATCACAGTGGTGATGGCTTTCCTGGCCACAAAACCAGGAAACCGAGTGAAAAGATGGCTGGGGAAGAGCTTGGCCAACTCCATCATACTTTCATGTTCTGCTATCCAAATTATCATCTGTTCCATCTGGCTGGGAGTTTCTCCCCCATTTGCTGACTCTGACCTCCACTCCCAGCATGGAGTAATCATCCTGCAATGCAACGAAGGATCCGTTGTCATGTTCTATATCACCCTCAGCTACATGGGCTTCCTGGCTGCCATCTGCTTCACAGTGGCTTTCCTGGCCAGGAATCTCCCTGGGGCCTTCAATGAAGCCAAGCTGATCACCTTCAGCATGCTGGTCTTCTGCAGTGTCTGGGTCTCCTTTGTGCCCACCTATCTGAGCACCAAAGGGAAATACATGGTGGCTGTGCAGGTCTTCTCCATCTTAGGTTCCAGTGCTGGTCTGCTGGTCTGCATCTTCATCCCCAAATGCTTCATTATTATTCTAAGGCCAGGCATGAATACCAAGGAGCAACTTACAAACAAAAGAAATGTAAAAATGTAAGGAATTTCATTATTCAACATGCTCCAGTAGGCCAATCCTAGATATTAATTCAAGCTGTTCTCCATACATAAGTGAGCTAACTATTAATGATTAAAGGGCTGGAAGGTATTGTCCCTCATCCTTGAATAATAGAATCACAAGACAGCCACTGAACTCTTCTGAGAAGGAAAGGCATCATATATTTCCTTTGTCCTTACTCTATGTGAGGCCTAAAATACCACTCCCAGATATTTGAAACATAACACTTGTACAATGGGAATTTTATGGGTATGCCAGAGATCATTTTTGGGGCTCCAAAAATGCTATTATTTTAGTGTATCTACAATTAAGGTTCTTTGCAGTGTTAGACACAAAGTCACAGCATCATAGAAGTTAAAGAAGAGAGATGGTAACATACTGCCCCATTAGATTTTTAGAAAAGAATTTCTATAGAATGGGATGAATGAACAAGGACATACATTCAATTTTGCAGCTACTAAGATTGTTGAATGAGCAGGCAAAAACACAGCCAAGGAAGTGATTGAAGCCTGGGATATGAGCCCTTGTCAGTCAACAGGAGTGCTGATTTACCACAAGCTTATCAAGTACTTAGGAGATGAGGGCTTGGTGACACAAGAAAACAACAGCCAACAACTTAATAGCTAGCCATCAACACCCCAATCAACCGCTAAAAAGCCACATACAACATATACCATATGTCAGCCTCCGCCTTTACTGCGTTGGCTGCCATAGTAATGGGAGGGGGAAAAGCTAGGTAGCATGGGGGGGAAGCGTGCTGGAGGAATCGAAAGCGATAGTTAAACCACCGGACCGGATCTTTGAAGCTGCCGTCGGGTCAACGATCATGGCATTCCTGATTGATGCTGCTGCCAGATGTGTGCTTCCACCTGGGAGACCTTTGGATTGGATGATTTACAGTGGACAGTGGGAGGGGAGGCTTTCTATATGCAATTTTCGCACTTATTGCCTTAGATTCTGCTTTCCTTTGGTTGCGTTCACTTCATTTTCTAGTAAAAGTACCTTTCTCTATAAACAATGGAGTTTGGGTCATTCTTTCCTGGACACCATATGAATACCATACACAGAATAGCCCAAAGCACGCACTCTGCTGGAGAGAAATTCCCTAAAGATGACCTCCAGCATAACTCCAAAAGCTCAGAAGATGAAATCTCTGGTCCCAGTTACTGACCCAGATTGGATCCTGCTACATGTTTTATTTATTACCATGAAAAAATCCACACAGAGCAAAAACCACATCAATGCATGGATAACCAGAAAATTTTATTGAACACGAGACAACTTATAGAAGCATCGACAATGGAGCAGAAACTGCCAACACTTGGAGTGTTGGAAAGAGCTTCAGGCTGTGCTGATGCCTTAGTTGTAGAAGAATTTACTCTGGAGAGAAACTCCATAAATGTATAGATTGTTGAAATGTATAGATTGTTGAGGACGAGTTGTTCTGTTCTTATAAAGTAACTTCTGTGGGGACATTTTCCACATAAAATGTGGAATTCTGGGATTCCTGTTATAAGGCAGTGATTAATAGGCTGATAAGTGAGTTGAAAATATTTTGATGGCCAAGCACGGCACTTTGGGGTTCAATGTCCCAAAAGTGCTTTTTCAAGAGGCAATTGGACTTCCTTGTTTTTCTTTGAAAACATTTATTTTATTTTATTTTATATTTTTTATTTTATAATTAAATTTATATACCGCCCTACTCCCGAAGGACTCAGGGCGGTGAACAGCCACAAAATAAAATATACATAATACAAGCGTTAAAAAGCCATTTAAAATACATTAAATACTTTGGCCAAATTTAAAACACCCCAATTATAAAACCAATTTAAAACCAATTTAAAAACAATTTAGCTTCTCATCCAAGAAGCTCATCCAAAATGCTTCTTGGATGAGAAGCGAAACGTCTTCAAAGAAAAACAAAAAAAGTCCAGTTGCCTCTTGAAAAAGTACCTTCGGGACAACCATGACCTGGATGTCTAAGAATCTCCATAGACATTTGGGGCTCAATGTGCAAAGGGGCAAATGGAGAACAGTATGTTAGTGAAAAATCATAGATAAAACACCTGGGGCATTGTTCCGTAATTATTCTGGCTTTTCCTACCGGGATATGTTAGGAAATTATCATTGGAAAATGAGAGTTTAAGCCCAGGTGAAAAACTTTTGATGTCCTTCTGGATAGCGTCTTCCCTTCTGTCCTTTTCAATATTAACAGGCCCCCGATAGGACAAGGTCATCCCCCATCCTTGTTATTTGGTATTATTATATGCTGATGACACTGAGCTCTACTGATGGATGATCTATCTGAAACATTTGAATAAGGGGGACAGGTGAGGCATTAGATTGGATCATGTCCATGTGACTCTCTCCTCTAGGGAATCTCATCACTCTCTGTGGATCATTGAGGACCATTCAGAGAAATGAAATGAGAGAAAAAAAATGTCTGGAATATTGTTGGTGTCAACAAATACAAATTCAATCAAAGATATGTTAGAGTTGCTTTTAGGAGCTATCTTGTGGTGGTAAGGGAGTCAAAGAACCAGTACTTCTGCACCCTTATTGTGTGTCATCTCCTCATCTCCCAGTCACCACCCATATACTTCTGGAGTGTCCACAAACAAAAAATGGACATGTATGAGTTAACCAAACCTGTGACCAGATGTTTAAGGCCCAATCTCACCTCCCTGCCTAACACCATATCAATAGGACAGTAAATGATATAATTCTGTAGGAATTATTTTCTAGAAAGTTTACGAGACTATATTTTAGCTCCTCTCTTCTTTAACTTCTATATATCAATAGTAGTAGCATTTAGACTTATAGACTGCTTCATAGTGCTTTATATCACTTTTTGTCAGCATATTTCCCCAACAATTTGGCCCCTGTTTTACTGAATTTTGAAGGATGGAAGGCTGAGTCAACTTTAAGCTGGTCAGGGTCAAATTCCTGACTGAGGGCAGAGTTAGCCTGCAATATTGCATTGTGACAGGCTATAATAATTTGGTTAACCAAATCTTCCCTTGTTTAACTTCTATGTAAGAATTTAGTTGACCAGTTGGATAATCCGGATTATTATCCTCCTAATTTGGCTGGAAAGTGTCTCTCTACTCTCATTGTGCTGATGATGCTGAAATCTTGAGTCTAGTACTGCAAAGGATACCAATTGCACATAAAGTATAATACAACTAAAATCATAATATTTTTAGAGTTCACCCTCCTCCCAACTGTTATTTCTGGCATATCAACAAGATTCCCATTGCACAAGTCATGTTTATCATGTTTAAAATAAGTGGGTAGGGCACTTTAGGTCTCAGGTAGACTAATAGCATAGGACAGATATGACGGCTAGACTGATAAAAAAAAAAAAAACAATTGCCAAATTGTGAATCTACTGGACTGGAATGGGAGACACTATTTTCCAGCTACCCTTTAATTATTTCAAGCAAAATCATTGGCCCTGATCATAAGCTGCTCCTTTGTATTCAAGTCTGGCCTCAGAAGAATAATGTAGCACTTGGGGATGAAGATGCAGCCCAGCAGCCCAGCATTGGAGGCCAAAACAGAGAAGACTTGCACAGCCACCATGTATTTCCCTTTGGTGCTCAGGTAGGTGGGCACAAAAGTCACCCAGACACTGCAGAAGACCAGCATGCTGAAGGTGATCAGCTTGGCTTCATTGAAGGCCCCAGGCAATTTCCTGGCCAGGAAAGCCACCATGAAGCAGATGGCAGCCAGGAAGCCCAAATAGCTGAGGGTAATATAGAACATGACAACAGATCCTTCATTGCATTGCAGGATGATCACTCCATGCTGGGAGTGGAGGTCAGAGTCAGGGAATGGAGGAGAAACTCCCAGCCAGATGGAACAAATGATAATTTGGACAGCAGAACAAGAAAGAATGATAGAATTGGCCAAGCTCTTCCCTAACCATCTCTTCACTCGGTTTCCTGGTTTTGTGGCCAGGAAAGCCAACACCACCGTGATTGTTTTTGCCAAGAGAGAAGAAATGGCAATTGAGAAGATGATGCCAAAAATCATTTGTCGGAGAAGGCAGGAAGTGTTTCTTGGTTGACCAATGAAGAGAAAAGGAGACAAGAAGCAAAGCAGGAGGCAGACAAGGAGGATATAAGACAGGTCTCGATTGTTGGCTTTAACAATGGGAGTTTCTAGGTATTTGATGAATAGGATTAAAACAAGGCCTGAGATTAGAAACAACAGTAGTGCAAAAGAGACCAAGATGATGCCCAGATATTCTTTGTAAGACAGGAAGGTTGTAACTTTTGGGTTACATTGAATTCGGTCCTCATTTGGATATCTATCATCTGGACACTTGGTGCATTTGGGTGTATCTGAGAAAACAAAAAAAAACAACATTTCTTTATGAGCCAAGGTGGCGCAGTGGTTAGGGTGCAGTACTGCAGCTACTTCAGCTGACTGCTAGTTCAGCAGATCAGAGGGTCAAATCTCACTGACTCAAGGTTGACTCAGCCTTCCATCCTTCCGAGGTGGGTAAAATGAGGACCCAGATTGTTGTAGGCAATATGCTATTTAGTATACTGTCTTTGGTGTAACCACCCAGAGTCCTCGGAGAGTGGGCGGCATAGAAATATGACTAA